GGGGGGGGGGGGGTTTGGTCGTTGAATCAAGTGAAGTTAATCAGATACACTATACACTGTCTTGATAAGTTGACTAGCCGAATCGTGCGCTAACCGTCTGTTCGAGCGAAGTTGCTGAATACAGATAACAAAGGCCCGTTTGAGACATAACTTTACACGACGAATAATGGGGATAAACGATTTCATTTTGTTTTCCTTTGAGCCGCATTTCTTCTGTAGAAGATTCGCGAGCTCACAACCTTATGAGATTGACGTCAACAATCAGACACGGTAGTTGATTTCTTACATTTGCTGTAATTTGCAGCGTTTCAAGTGATTGCGGGATATGCTTCATACGTAACATTTGATCCTCAAACCCCGCCCTAATAAAAATTTTCCAGTGGCTGAAGTCAATTTAAATTTTTTCTTTTGTATGTTGACTGAAGTGATTTCGTGGCTGTTTAGGAAGGGTTAGTTCCCTTCCTCTACACAGACGTAAAACTTGAAACCCAAACGCTTGTCTGCCTACGCCCTTCATTCTCCATACTGTTCTTTATATATTTCCCACGGTACTGACAAGGAGTATTTGTTTGACTATCAGAAGCTTATTGAATTTGTGATCATTTCCATTCTTCCCATGACCTTTACATTTGACTCAAGGGCAATATGTCGGTAGGTTGTATTTCTCATGTATCAACAACGATTTCCTTTCTTAACCACAAGCGGCCTAAGCTCCTGCTCAACAAGGTCACTTTGTGTACGAAACCTTTGCGGCCACGTTTGGGAGGCAAGTCCCTCATTCTTGTATTTCCAAGTCTGGGTGGCCATCCGGTAAAATGATTACAAAGTATCTTTTTTCTTAATTGCTTGTTATGTTTTCTGCGTGCTTTCCGTCTTTTGGCTTGGTATGTAATTAAGGTGATGACGGCGTTACGTCCTTTCTTTTCTGAACTGGAGGGCAAGTTGAATAGTTGCTTTTAAGAAGAATAAGTTCAGGATGAAATCCGAGAACGACTTTTCTTTCAATTCAAAGTAGGGCTTTTTAAAGAGATGTCCAGGGAAGTAGCAAGGATTTTTTGAAAAAAGGGGGTTGGGAGTCGCACTGGGATTTATCAAGGGTACCTTTTCGACTGTCTTCGCGACATTAACGCTGTGTTTTACCCCTAGCAAGATTTTGAAGAATAAGAATAAATGAGTTGTTAGTGATGGGATCCCTCTGCTATGCATGCGTGTTGATTCCTCGGTTCACGCGCGTTTTCGCCTCCTGAATTTCAAGGTTTGTTCGTTTTTTTATTAAAAATTCTTCTCACCAGCAGGGCAGGGGGTATTCAGGACCTTCCCCTCCCTGGCTACTACGACCCGTGCGTAACACTGTTCCGAAAAAACGATCTGAGGTCCGGGGGGACTAAGAATAGACCACATAGCTATGACAAAGCACACGACTTGAATAACGCAACAGAATCTTGGCCGATTAACTCTAAAAATCATTGTATTATTTCTCTCTTGAAGCTGCGATACGTTGGATTGTAAATCTACGATGAAATTTTGGTCGTAAAGATAGCGTTTATAGCCTGATAGGTTCGTCTTTTCTTATCAACTGCTTATTTCAAGATATATTGGAATTGTAAGGAGAGGCTGCATATTGATCAAATCTTGGAGATAGAGGAACGCAAAGTTATCGATCTATTTTTACTGGCTGTGGTCAGATTACGGCGATCAGTCGGAGAGATAAGGTTTGATACACAACACAATTTGAAACATCATTGTGGCTTTTTGTCAATACAAACATTGCTTGTGTCTATTGCCGGATCTCGCTGTCACGCCTGATGCACCTAAATTACGTCAAATTTGAATTAATGTGCCCAGAATAAACGTCAGGTTTTAGCTAAATCCGGTTACTTTGCAGAAAAGTTTTGACACAATAATAAAAATCGTCATAACTTGTAACAAGAGAGCAATTACGTCGAAACACGAAGCTGACTCATAGGCAAGTACTTCTTCAGTCAACACTGATATGTCATTTTGATTAGAACCCTAGGGTCATCATTTGTCAAACTCATCATTTATTTGCACAAAGAATTAGAAAGGACAGACTTACCGCTTCGGTAATTATCACTTAGTGCGATCCAGTCAACACAGGAATTTTCATAGTTCGGTGTACGTTGCACCAGGGCTTACCTCTAATCCTAAACTTACAAAATTATGTCTTTCCTCATGATAGGACAGCAATCTACGGAGAGCACGAGCGAGGAGGAGGACTCAGAAACTCAGCCGAGCGTTGTGATCAGCTCTGTTGATGAGATTATGGAGTCGGAAAGACCCGCATTTTGTTTCAATGAAGAAGAGCGAAAGTTGAAGACGTTTCACGAACGCAAAACAGACCTAGACGCGGCAATCAAATGGATTGTGAAAGAAATCGTAAGCGCTTAACAAGTTATTTAATTCTAATGTCATACTCGAAGATAATCTGGATACGTGCCATAAAGAAAAATTATGGCTAATCGCGGAGATTATAAATAAAGGTCTCTCAATATATTAAATTCATTTAGCTGTACTTGAGATTAACGCCCCTTCGGTATTGGGATTTACACGTAATATCGTAAAAGACATCTTGGTTACTAAGTCGCAAATGTTTTTCTTTCCATGATTCATCTACATGCAATTAAGCTTTGATAACTTTCCTCCCGACTGTAATAGTTTTCATTCACAGGAACAATATTTTTCTACTGATGTTATCTGTCCACAATAATAATAGCCTAAATTATTCCCCGCCACCGTGCCCCAAGTAAATGACCTTTCAATGGAGACACGTGCGTTTAGGAATAAACCCTGCATCAATCGATTCTGCTCGAAAAATTCCTGTGGTGTTTGTGTTACTGAAGTCTATGATTGCGCGTGTCACTAGGGCGGAGCAGAAATGTTTCTCTTAGCTCTTGAAAATATCAGACAAGCTTTTGTATTTTGAAGGTTTTGAAAAATAAATATTAGATCTTCGCACAGCAGGAAATTGAGGAAATAGATGAATTTGAAGTAAGGGGTCACCTTGTTGTCCATCTTCAATTTCAGTGGATAGTAGCTTGGAAGTGTTATGTACTTGAACGTTAAAAAATGCTACGCTGCCTGAAATTCTTGACGAACTGTGATCTTTTAGCGGTAACGATTGAATCGTTGCGGGCGGGGTGATTGCCCGCTGAGAAAAAAAAAATGATTGAGACAAATAAACAAAACCCATGGAGAGAAAGATATTCCATGTATCTGTTCTAGAAAACACAGCCCGCGAAGAGGATCAGGAACCGTTTCAGCACGAGTGTGCCTTCGCCCGACGGAAAGTACGAGCCTTAAGCTATGCGCTGCAAAGAGTATAACTGTCTCGACTCGTCTCGAGTCCTTCCGCGCGTGGAGAAACGCGCGTCCTGCAGCGTCTGCTTGTAGGCAACAAGAATCAACTTATATGCATTTTTCTCTAATTTCTGCTCTGAGAATCTTAGCTCCATCAACGCTTCTATCTCTAACATCTCATTCGTTTGAGCTAAGATATAAAACATTTCCCGTAACTTCTAGGAATACACATGTTCAAATTTCAACTGTCAAGAAAGCAAGCATCCACATTTCTCTAACTTAATTTTTCATCCAACAGAAATTTCTCAAGCAGCAAGACCAGAACCTTATGAAGCAGTTTGTACAACTCCGAGGTGTTCTCAACTCAATCAGGAATTGCCCGCCTCCAGTGTCTCCAATCGATCGAAAGATCAGTCTTCCCGACACCTCTCCGAGTTCACCAATCAGTCCATTTTATCGGATTCCCGAAAAGTCTTCGGAGACGTATTACAGAGACGAAGCCTCTCCGGGTCTCCGAAAAAGGGCAGCGTCAGATAACTCGGGAAGGCCACTTCTGACTTATTCCATGTCTTCATTGTCTTTTGACGAAAGCGACTTCACAAACGAAAACTTTGAGCACTTTGTGATATAAAAAAAAATTATAGAAGATGGACTAAGACTTATGAACATAGTTTAACGAATAGCTTTTTCGCGCAATCGGATTTAAATATTTGTAAATTTTTGTAAAGATTAATTTCCAGAGTTGAGATTTAATAAAGTTCGGCATTATCGTGTATTCTGACTGCTGTCGATATTAGCCACTGACGCTTCATCAACCTGAGCGAAAGTCACCATCAGGGTCATTAGAGTCAAGTTTGGTATTTGATGCAAGTCATACACAGTTTTCCATGTTTTTATTACATTTATGTGGACTACCCAAATGGATCAGTGCCTTGTTGACCGCATTGTAGCCCTCGCGTGCTATAGCTTTCCGGCGCTCGAGACACGTTATTGCTTCGATCACAGCCCCTACAAAACGTGTAGAGATCTCTGGTTATTCACCACGAAAACTTCACATAACTTGCAGTTCTTTTACCTCGCCCTGTTTCATTTAGAGGTGCTACATTGACGACCAGTCATTCGGAATTAACGACATTTCCATGCCTCTTTTCACGAGTAGAAAAGTTTTGAAAACAGGTTGTCGTGAGCACCCTGAAGAAAGTCAGCAACGGGGGCTGTTGTTGTTGCTTCCTCCACGGTGGTCATTTCGAACCTAGGAATGTATAAAAACAACAGTTCAGGTAAATAAGTGGGCTAATGGTCAGATGACCTGGTTTTCGTCTAGTTTGAACACCTGTTGTGGTAGTTGATCTCGTTCTACAACAATAGACACTGCTGCGAAAGGCGTCAAACACAGTAAAAATCCAAATAAAGGTAACTCTTAAGTCGAAAATCCCTTCACAAACATAAGTCCAAAAACCTAGGTAAAACAAAGGCTGTGTTGCGTCCACCAGTTTGGTGTTCAGACCAGTATTCCGCTCACGATACTCACTTTTTCCTTATTTCTTCTGCTGTCTTCTGCATTTCAAATTGTAAGGATTGAGCCTAAAGTTCATGAATCAAAATATAGTATAATTAGCGGAGCTGCAACTACAACAATAACCGTACACAAGAGACCTTGAGTTTTTATGCTCACTTCTTATACGGGCATTCCGTGCCAGTGTTTGAATCCTCAAGGGATTATCATCTATAGCCTTCTCGTCGGAATTCAAAACATGTAATTGTAAGACACGTTACGTATTCCTTGGACATTCCTTCCCATAACTAAGATACGCTGTAGTCGTGGCATCCTTTCTGTTAACACCACTGGGATTCAGAACGTATGACAAGACGCCAACACAGACTATGCAAAGCCATATTCATGTGTAACTTCTGCATCTATATTTCAGCACACCTAGGATTTTCCAGAATCCGTCTCTGATTGACTTTGTCCTTAACTGCACAGGTTTTCTCCAATGTGAAGTCTTTGTCGAAACTTTTTCTTTTTTGGAAGGGGGGGGGGAAAATTTCACACAACGATTCCCACCCCTCCACTAACGAAAAGGGAAAATCATGATTGACATCCTCCCCGTGCAAAAAAAGGGAAAAGCGGTTGTAAAGGACGACTATATGAAAGTGGGATGAAAAGAACGAGCGCGACAAATGTAGATATCACCTATTGTCATATATTTATCTTGTATTGTTATTCGTAGCTGCCCAAAACCTGACGTTCTATAAGTACCTGTAACGGTCCGATATTACCAAGTCTCACAGCACTGGCAATTACCGTTCGGAGAGTCGAGAAAAGGAAAAGTTGTTGTGTTTGGACCACAGAGAGGTTTAACATGCCGCACATGAAGCCAAACACAACGGCAAAGTGACCAAAGAGGCATTTGTTCTCGAGTTGGACCTGAAATAAAGCAGTTGTAGGTAAGGCCTGTTCTGGAGCGTATTCAGGACCACCTAGCCGCAGCTTATCTCGGTGCTTCCCAGCGCTGAGAGGGTCGGACGGAAGTTACGAGGAGGAGTGGACTAGAGGGAGAGGGTTAGGAAGTAGGATTCCACCTTTCATGAACCGTGGAATGAGACGGAAATTTTATCATTGAAATTTAAACCAGAAATTTTCCCCAGAACTACAGATGTTTGTTGACTATCAGTACTACTGACAGGGCACTTTCACCTCTTGATTATCTTACAACGTTCTTCTACAGTTTGAAGGAAAAAACTCTTCGTGATTTTCATCCTTGTTGCAGAGACGTGAAAGGTTGATAACTTGTCTTCATAAAATTCCTATTAAGTAGGGGTGTTGTCTTTCAAGGCGGAATAGTGAGGTGCTATCATGTTCTTTACCTTGTTACTTTTCTTTCTCTTTTAAAACATAAATAATGGGCTCAAGAAAGGAAAAAACATTGCCAGAGACACATACTACCTCAGTGCCACGCAGAAATGTAAGTTGTATTTTTATAACTACAAACATTTGTCATTTAGAACATACCTGTAAGTTTTTCATTTCTTGTTTTCCAAATGTTTTGCAAGCTGTGTCAAGTAAGGAGTTCCCCTGATAAACAACGATACCGCAAAAGCTTAGATACTTGTAATGTAGTGACACATCACAATTGATCATGTCCTTTTAGAAGTTTCAATCTGAGAGACTTAAATTGGCCTAGTAATTTGGGACTTTTAATGACCAGTAATAGCTTTTCTGATAAAAAGAAATTATAAAAAAGAAAATCTTAGAAACAAGCAGTTGAGACTTGTAAGCTACATATTACTTAACAAATAGATAATTGAAGTTCTCAAATTTTCTTACATGGGTTAGTGGTCTAAGAAATTATGCCTTAAGTAAGAGGAGTGGGAGATGCTTGATGGATAGCTTAATTCTCCTAAACACTAATAACCCTTTGACCCCCAAGATCTATTGCTAACTCTCCCCTCTACGAGCTACACATTTTCTTGTAAATTATTCATGAGAATTTGGAGTTAAATCAAGATAAAAACTAGCAGATTAGTTTGAGTATTCTCATTACCTGTTTGCTGGATAATGTATGGATATTATAGAGAGAAGTAACAGGTTAATCACCACTGGGAAGAAATGGTTAATTACACATATGCAGATAAGTACTGGGGGTAAAAATGCATGTTCTTATGCTAAACAGGTTTTACTATTCAAATGCCAGTTTTTTTAGTTGATAAAATAAAGAAAAATTATACAGAATCAACAACTTATTCACCTCAAAATAAAGATATGTAGCGAGCTTTATTGTTGATCAATAATGTATAATAGATTTATTATAGATAATGTATAACTGACCTGCCTGATGCTTGCTCTGTTTGCTACATGGTTACTGAGGTAAGCTTGAACCATTCCATCCAACTCTTTGATCCTCTCAACATCATGGCAATTCTTGTGCGATTCATTGACAAAAGAGAGACTGAATGATGCTAAAGGATTTGAAATGAAGGACTTCAGTTAGCTCTCTAGATCAACTATAGCTTTACATGTAGAGGACAAAACATTGGGGCTGTGAGAAAAGGCAAATCAACGGCTTTTTGTGGTGAGGAGAGAGAAAGGAGTGTTTGCTTTACATGGCCTCTGCCTAACTAGTAGTTAAAAGCACAGCTGAAAAGAATGAAAATGAGTATTAACCATAAAACTTCTTCTATTGGTCTGATACCTACCTATTCACACCAGCAAAATATTTATAGCTAAACTAGGTTTAACTGAATAAAAATCAGAAATAGTGAACTGACAACCTGAATTTCCATAGGATTTAAGTGGTCACAAAAAAAATGTGCTCTCCCAAACAAGGGAGGAGGTATGTGATCACAGCCCATACTATAACATTGCATCACCAGTAGACAGCGCATGAAAACATTTTATAGAAATTTTGGATTAATGTTTCATTTAAGACAACTTGCCAAAATAGGTAATATGTGTAAGTGCAAAGAACTGTTTCCTTTTTTAAATGATAAAATGATTGAATTATTCCCTTTGATTCATTAATGGTAGCTTTCACCGAGTATTACCTGTGTTTTGAAGGCAAGAGAACAAAAAAGCTTTGAATGCACCTAAAAAGAAAGAACAAAAAAATTAACATAGCAACAGCGACAAAAACCTACTCTTTACTATCAAAGATAAATCTTGAAGTTGCTAACGTATATTTACATTGTGTACTCCAATATTATAATTTACTGAACACTGCATTCTGTTTCATACTTACTATACTCTGTTACAAAGCCATGTTTTGTTGCAGATTCAAATCCAAAACTATGTGAGAATCCTCCAGTAGGAAATGCTGCCAATCAAAAGATGAAACTGATATAATTCTAGAGAAGATAATTTTGATATATATTTTCTGCTCACCAGAAGTTTTGTGTTACTGTTACTGTTACTGTAACTGTTACTTCAGCCATATGTCAACCAGTCATCATTTGAATAAAGTTGGATATTTTTAACCTTCCTTAGAGATGTTTTTATAATGATTATTATCAATTTTACAATTGTCTTCTTTCAAACATAATTGCCTCAAAGAAATGTGTTAATGCTCTAAAACTGTAAGACTGTAAGGCAATTAGTTTCAGTCTTTCATTAACCATCTAACTCCCAAGATCTCATAAGTAATTCTCCTTAATGTCTACCATAAAGTTCTTGTGATGTTAGTTTGGAGAATTTGGTGTTGAATCAACTTACAATCCCCTAACTGATATTTTTCTTTATTCTCCTTACTTGTCTGCTTGATTACAATGTTTCATAAGTTTTTGTTTTAAATTTCCTCTGATGTTCTGGAATTTGCGAGACCATAAGCTGGTTTTAAAGTACTGTATACTGAAATAATTGAATCTAGTTGGTTCACATCTGCCTGAAAATTCCCGCCTAAATTACGCGCCAGAAAACGCGGTTGCCGCTGCTGCTGCTGCAACGAAACCCGTGAACATGGTGTACTTGTTACTAACCTGCTTTGTCTAAAAATTAGTCGAAAATCATTTGAAAAAACGTCAAACATCTCATATCCCGTCAAAAATTTCACCTCGTTATCAAAGAAAGGTATTGAGGCAAGGTAATATGTTCATCTTAGCTTTAAAATGTTACTTTTTATAGCCTTCAACGTGGAACACTTGACGTCTATTCAGCTGTTTACCGACATAATCTTGAAAATATCATTGAATTCTCGCTTTGAAAGTAGTATTGTTTCACTATTTTCCTGAAAATAACTTGTAATGAATAATACTAATAATGTTTTTTTTTCGTTAAACAAATTACACCGCTTTTAAGCCTGCACGTAATTTACATCAGCTTTCCAATTACAAGTTACATACTCGCTGATATACTCATACCTGAATCAGCTATCTGCAGCAAAATCCATGTTGTCGTTGAATCCGTCTCTTTTCCAGCAATTTCTTGATTGTATGAATCAGTCATATTTTTTATTCCTAGAATAATCTGGAACTATGAACCTGAATTTCACAGGTGATAGCCAAAGTACTCCGCCATATTGGATTACTCTAGTTCCAGGCCTCTTCTCCAATTCTCTCCTTTCTGTTGACTTTTTACCCTCAGAACACAGGAGGTGGAGTTTGACCTAAACCCTACAGTTGCTTCTCAATGTGCGGTAGAAAATTACAGTAAAATGTTTCAACAGGGGAAGAGTGCACACTCTTCCTCGAAAAGGATTTAATAGCTTTCTTTTTTTGACAAAGTTTATTTTTTTTATGGAGCTGACTCCTATCGAGATTGGAAGCACTGAATGTCGATCTTAGTACACGTTAGGACCCTCGAGAACTAAGCATAATATAGCCTCGTCGCTCGCCAAGGACTTCGCTTTAGTTTAGCGGTAGAGTATGCGATCGGTAATTGCTCGGCTGGGTTTTGATCAGTCATTTGTCATTGTGGCTTAAGATATTTTCCTCTTTTCTCCACACCATTTCTAAACTTTCATCGCTTGCACATCGATCCTTTAAAACTTGCTTGTCGGAGCGAATCTGCGTATCCTATCGATTACACGCCAACTCCCCGTCTTCAAGATATCAGCTCTATTCTAGTGAGAAGACAAAAATTCAAAAGTAAATTTCTTCATTTACCTCGAGGCTACCGGCTGAGGTATTGCCGTTTTGAGTGTGGGGTTAAATAGCGAAAATTGACATCTTTTACGACCAAGACGAACTAAATTAATATATCTGTTCTTCACGCTTGTTTCAACTCTCTGATAAACTGCGCGGGTGTGTAGGGTGTCAGCGTCTTTCAATATCATATTATAGCTAAATGCAAATGAGTATCGCCAATTGGCAGAAAAATTCTCGTTACAATGGATATGACCTCCAAGTGGTCAAGGATAGAGATCTCCTTTTTTTTTTCTTCTCGTTGTTGTTTTTTTTCGAAAGATAGAAGATAAAGCTACCTTATGTAGTTCTGTATAATAACTTCCCAATGTAATTTCTGGTAACTTAAAATCATAATAACAGAAAAGATTTAATTTAAGTCAGTTCATTTATTACTAGAACGTTGTACAGTTTTGTTATCATGGTTTTGCAATCGTTGTAACTATTTTTAACTAACTAGCGTTTCAAATGGCATGTATAACCGCTTCAACGCTTTTTTTAAAATATTTTTGTGTAAATAATTTCGTCTTTTGTAGTTGTCTACCTTTGTTCTACCTGTAGGTTTGTTTGATTATCCTAAGTTAATGCAAATTTCGGACCTTAGCACAGTTAATTGTTTCATGCCACTTAGAAGCAAGGGTTTTTTTTGTGTGTGTAAAGAGAACAAAATAGAACATCTCCCTGTATGCTGCTTCTTCCCAAAATATCATGCAAAATGAATTCCCTGTTGTCCAGCAACGTTCTGTTAGGGTCTAACAAATGTTTCGGGATGAAACGAGATTTGACTTATGCATTTTTATTTAACAAATAGTGTCATTTGTCAAATAACACTTTTCACATCCACGCAAAGGAGGAGATTATTTGAAGAAAATCATTTCCTTTTCAATTGTTTTCAGCTGAACAACTGTTCCAGCCTTCGTGAAATGCGGGGAGGTATGGTTCATTGAAAAGGCGGGAATTAACAATTAAAATTTATGCTCAATTTGATCATAATTATTTGTAAGCTTTCAGCAGGTTTCTCAATGAAATTGGAAGAAACTTTCTTAGGTAATAACGTCGTGATAAGCTACCGTTTAGAAACGGAGAAAGAAAAATACGATCTACACATTGTATGACAATTTTAACCCAAAGGTGTAATAATTTTGAGGGAAAACGTAGGTATTTATTCATTTCTGAGGCATTGTGATGAAATCGTCTCAGGAATCAAACCTTTGATGTCAAAATAAGGATGGCTCTTCACTGGTTTTGGGTCGTTGGTTGGTTTATAACTCTTTTCGGTTTCCTGGGAAACACCTGGATTATTTTCATCATCGTGAAAAGAAGAAGATTACAAACAACAGCCAACTGGTTTGTTCTTTCTTTGGCAATCGCCGATCTGGGCGTCACTTGTGGATATTTCCCAGCATCTTTTGTTTGCAACATACTCGTTCACTCATGTAACAACAGCATTCGCTTTAATTTCTACAGCTTTTTCATCGAAGCCTCCACCTTCTCGATGATTGCGATGATTGTGGAACGTTATATCGCCATCGTTTATTCATTAAGATACGTATACGTTATGACCACTGCAAAAACAATCACTATCATTGTGGCATCTTGGGGAGTTCCGAGTGTTCTCATCTTCGCTAGATGGGCATACGAACTGTATTACAATGAGATTTCTGCCCAGGCAGAGTTCGTAATAATCACCATGTATACGCTGTTGTTTGAAATTGTGCCAACGATAATCCTTATCGTAACAACCTCGCATATCTTGTTCATCGCCCGAAGAGTTTCGAAGCAGATGTCAGTTCTGTTGACTCAGGTTAGATTTAACGTGGCGGCAAACTCTGCAAGAATACTGAACGCACCAGTTAAAATTGGGTTGAAATCGTCAACGGTAAAATTAGTGGTTGCAGTTGTTGCTATATTCGTAGTATGTTACGGGACAGAAATCTACGTCACATTCTGTCAAGCCCCGTATAACCTTTGTGCAGTCCCTGACGATGTCCAAATATTCTTTTCTCTGCTAATTATGGTTAACTCAGTTCTTAATCCGATTGTATACGCATTCCTAAAACAGGATATCAAGAACGAGACAAGAGCCGTGTTTCGTTTCGGAAAGGATAGCAGATCACATTCAGGATCTCTGAGAACTGCTAGGAGCGGATTCTACTCAGTAATCACATCATGAGCGATTTCACTCTTCACTCTTTCTCGTGATATCATTGTTGGCAATTACTCTTTAATTTTGGCGCAAAATAAAATTACAAAGTTTCCATGGCCGCTTTGTAATTTTCATTGGAATTAGATGGTGCCCAAGTTTGAACACGTGACAGGTGAAGACGTTACGGCGTTCAAAAAGCGTCCAAAAATCTTCCAAGCTTGCCTCCAGAAACTAAGAATTTATTATTTACTCAATAATTCACACTTCAAATTGTATATCAATATATTAATGGCCTAAAACGGATTATCAATCGTATTTCAAACCTGCGGCGTTTTCAGCTCATTTACCATTAATATTATGGCTTATCATTTATACAAGATTTGTGGATGGTTTGGCTATTTAATCACTCGTGCTTATCAGCTGGAGAGGTATTTTTAATTTGATTAGGCGGAAGGATGATATCTCCTGCATATTTACTACGGTATTAGACAGTTGAAGTAAAAATTGGTCTTTACGAAATGGCTTTAGAGGTACATTTCCTTTCCTGCCCAATCCATGTGAGTTCCGTATGCCCTATTTTGATTCCATTTTTGATCCAGCTGTATCAATTAATATGCGGTTTAAAGTGACCTTTCTCGACTACAATTTTTAGTTAATTTTTCTCACGCTTGCAAGCGACGCAAAATATCCCACGGTTGTATTTCATTATAGACCATTACAGGACACTTTGGGTGAGGTTACTGAATAAAATTATTGCACCTGTTTGTATGTATAATGAAGGAATATTCTGATACAATCCTATTTTGTAATCGAATGATGCACTTTGCAGAGTGAACATTTACGTTTTCGACAGTCTAATCGATCCTGCTTTTCTCCTGATGCATTCCTATTTTAAAAAGAACCGCTTGAATGAAATTATTTATCTAAAGTGGCAAGAATTCAATTACAGGAAGCGAACACGCCTTCAATTTAGGGATAAGTGGCCACCTGCCATATTTTGCTTCCAAGTTGAAAAATGATCCATGCTTTCATGCGACCAAAGTGATAGCAAAATTGAAACCAAAAAAAAAAAAAACCACGAATAATTTTGGGTTTGTCTCGCATTAAAAGGGTGGAAAATTTCATTTGTCACACCTTTTATTGTCTGCTATTTTTCTTCTTCCAAGTTAAAAGGCGGTCCATACTTTCATGTGACCGAAGAGAGGGCGAAATTGAAATAAGCAAACAAGAAAAAACAACAACAATAGGAATTATTTTGGATTTTTTTTAGCTTTAATGGCAGAACAATTTAATTTTTAACAAATATGTTAAGTTCATCCGCAAGCTTTTTTTTTTTGAAATCCAAAAAAAAATTAAATATCACGAAATCTTTTTCAATATCGACTATCGTCAATCAAACTCTTTTCCTAGTCAGCGGGATAGCTTTCATTGAAAGAGTAATAAATTATTACTGTTTTTGTTGAATTGTTAGTCTGTTATGAGCCATCATAACAACAAATAAATGAGTTTGATTTGCATAATCAGAACGTGGATTAAAGATAATATATTTATATATATATATATATTTAGATTAAATTTTATATTACCTTTCAGGTAGAGCAAAACCAATTTGGCAAATTTTATTTACACTTACTTATAATATTTTTGGCTAAGAAATGGATTATAAATTATAGACAGTTTTTGACTTTCTTGTTACTTTTCAGTGGAAAACATTGAGAGATATTCGTAAACACGTAAAAATCAGTATCATACACTATAGAATGGTTTAATTTTAGGCCTAACAGGGGGTCTTAATGGGGTAAACCGATAGCTGTAAAACGAACTAAAAAATTTAGCCTCTAGGCGTACAAATTGACAAATTTAATGGTGACAACAATGGAATAGTGTTAACTGTTAGCCGTAAAAACCATCACCCCATTGAGACCCGCTTGACAGCATACTTCGTATTGTGTGAGGTGTCCCAAAATAATGGGGATGTTCTTAGCTTCTTTGGCTCCGTGGTGAACGGAATGACAGTTTTAAATGCTGCTTTAAAAAAGAAACGCTTAGATTTATGAAGGTGAAATTAACCTTGTAAAGTGATTTTTTTGTTATCGTTTCTCAATATATTAATTGCATGACAACCATTAGCCGTAACTAATCTGAGAAGAAAAACCATCTTTGAACATGGAAGCACTATTGAATACATCAAGGAAGAAAAGGAACAAAAGCCGGCAGGGAAAGCGAAAAAAAAACCGGGGACCCCCTCAGCTCAACTTCTAGACCCGCCGCTGGTAATATAAGATATTATCTTGTAGATAATAGCTTCAGGGGATGATACGATTTTTTTTCTTTTTTTTCAAAGAAAAAAAAGCGGCATAATGATAATGATAAAATACTTGATTTAGCGCACTTCATTAACTAAATAATTACCGGTCAATATAGACAGTCAAAATCATCAGTAACAAAAACGTAGTTCAGCAGTTTACTGACAAAAGGCAGAGCTGTCGATCCACGTATAAATACATTTAGCACAACTTATAATTACTTTAAGCTTCAGAATACCATATTTGACTTCACCATTACTTTAAAAACAATGTCATGCATCTCCCAAAAATTTTTCAATACTAAAAAAATTCCTATTTTAATCACTTATCACTGATTTTGGTTCATATGATCGTTTGATGTGTATTTCCAAAATCCAAACTCGAATGGTCAGCCAATGCTTATTCATACTATTAAAATTTTAAAATGAATTAATTAATCGGGTTTTCGGTAAGTAATCCTCGTTTAAATTTAATTTTGAAAAAATGGGACGAAACACACTAGAATTGTGTAAAAATTATTCAAAAACGTCTCGGGGAAACTTCGATCAAAACGAGATGCAACTTCACTCTCGTTTCAATTTAAGACGAGAGTTTGCGTGCAAACTTGAACAGTGAACTGAAATATTTGTTATAGATTATTTTGACGAATAGGGAAGAAGCTCTCTTCTTAACCTTTATGCGAATGCCGAATTCATTTATGTTTGTGGCGTCTTGTTCACAACTGCTCATTAAAAGAGTGCCACGTGATCTACTTGATCAACATAATGTTACAAAACAGATGGTGCATCGGGGGAATTATAAACACGTAAAATGAGGTTGGAAGGAAAGTGGCAAAAATCCTTTTGTGGTTCGTCATGAAACTCAAATAGTATTGAACTTACAGATTCAAAAAGACCACAGTTTTATCGCCATGAACACCAGGTCGCAAATACCCAAAGGAAACAAACTGTTTTTACCGAAAATTGAATATGCAAAGCTTACAGAAGACAGGCCGTTAGGCGACGAAAACCCAAACATGAAGACCGTTTTTTCCGATGACGAGCTAGAAAAGAGCAATGGTGAATCTGAAACTGAGGAGAACATTCCTCTGTTAAATCTCAACTACAATATGGGTACTTTCACGCGTTTTTCTGTTTTACCACCGATACAGGATAACGCACGACATGGGAGAAGATTGAGCAACGCGCGTAGATTTTCATTTGCGTCGTCGAACGGGTCAGCTGCTAGTCACGATACAAGCAGGAAAAGCAGTGAGGGGAAATCGCATAAAAACGTAGACTTCTCCAGTTTCGTAGCTCAGCAAAGAAAGGACTCGAGCGGTGAATATAATAAGCATTTACAAGTGGTTGGTAGGCCTTGCTTAGCTGAAAAACGCGAAACTCTGGGGAAAGATCGGTTTCGATCTAAACCGCGAATCCCTCAACGATCTTTCAGTAGCCCTGTGGGATCTGATAGTGACAAATCCAGTTGTAAAGGCTGCAATACACTTCTAATAAGGCAGCGTTCAAAAACAGAAGGTGGGCAATATCCTATTGACTCGCAATCAAGAGCTGATGTCGTACAACACACGTGTATCAGAAGTGAGGAATTTTCGGGTAAAATTCAAAAGAGATTTAATTCAAACAGCTTACGTTTACAAAGCGAACATCATGCCTACGAAAAGAATAATAACAGAATTCAATCCGAAAGAAGAAAAGGCTCTACTACAGCCACAAGACAATCAGAAAGAATAGGTTTATCGGTTGCAACACTTGCAAATGGCAGACGACCTGTAAGTCGATGCGAAATAGACTTGAATGTCAATTCATCTGTGTCATTTGAGCAAGATATACATGTTTTGAATGAGCAGCGATCAAATTCGCCGCCATCAATAAGTATTTATGAATCTAAGGAAAAAACCGCTTCAAACGAGAAGCGAGACCAAAGCGAAGAAACTGCATACTCTCTGCAAGGAATGCCACAAATTCAAATTTTAATCGACTCGCTTGAAAACGCAAGAGAGGAACTTCCAAAAGCTTCTATGCATGTTCCGTATACTTCGTTGAGGGAGAAACGAAGACGGTCGGCACTGTGTAGAAATAATTCGAAACAAGTGGATGATTTTCTTCTAGTGCATAATCTTCGAGATTTAGGCTTGCTTTAAACGAATTATTCAAGCTGATCCTTGCAAAGCCGATCACACGGTCGGTTGTGTTTTATTTTTCAGCTTAGCTGTCACAGTTGCCAAGAAACATTTGCGCCAATAAAAGCTTATTAGGCAAGACAGGTGACTTGGTCTTCCATTTTACGCAAACATGACTCATATGCATTTCCTCTGAAGGAAGCAAAAATACCATTTGAGAAGTAAATCTCAATAGCACTAATCTTACAGGTTTACAGTACGACAAGCCGTAAAAGAAATTTTCACTTGGAAATCTTATGGCAAAGATGTATGGTAATTATTATTATAAATCAAGCGCGAATTAGTATGGAGCGATATATTATTCATACCACCTAAGTAAACTCTACGTCGTGCATGCACTACCTGTGCCATAATGAAAAAACATGGAGTGATGACAATTAAAACCGTGAAGTTGCATACATAATCTTAAAAACCGGACCGAAAAGAGACTGAACGTATTTGGTTCCAAAATAAACTTATATATTTGTACCAGGTCGTGTATGTGCGTCTACCTAATTTCCGATATATTTATGACATATGTTTTATCATAAGGACAGCGTAGGAGATAATAGCTCCTCGGTAATTGATTGTGTCTTTTATTGGCTCTTGAGATAGGAAAATAAGCTATTCTTGGAGATTCAAAACTT